TGAATCGGTTTCTGTTATACGGGCGTAAGTCCAAAAATTTCAAAATCGTTTTTTTTGCATTTTCAGCCTCCTTTAGGGTACATACACATTTTCTGAAAAGATGGCGGAAGTCCTATGTATAGAAGCCTGTGGAATAGGGGGGCGAGTTCTCAAACTCGCGCATTTCTAAAGTTTCTGTAACTTTTTTCATAATAAATGAAGAACATTTGTATTGAATTTGCATCTTGACCTAGCTGTTAGCTGATATAACTTCTTATTGTGCATTGATCAGAAAAATACATGATTGAAATTTGAAAACTTGGTTTCAACACTTTTTTAAATGAAAACATCCCATGTCACCTTCATTAATTTTGGAAAAATAGGAGTAATTCTAGAAAATTTAGGCCTTTAAATAAATTTAAAAACATATAATATCTCCCTATGCTATATAAAAGAAAAAAACCATGTGCTACATTTTTCAAACTTACTTTAATATTAGTTTTTTGGCTTGAAACTGTCTCAGTCATCCTTCGTTTTCTGGTATAAGGGCGTAAGTCCAAAACTTAAAATTAGCCTAAAAGGGTACTAAAATGTTTCTGAGCCAAAAAAACATTTCAGAACTTTTAAACGGGTGCTTATACAACCTTTGAACCTTTTTTGAAATTTAGTGGTGTCCTGCATAACGAGAAAATCAGTTTTTTGCCTCTCCTGAAAAATTTGGATTTGTGGACTTACGCCCGTTTAACAGAAACCGATTCAATTAAAATCGGAGACTTTTTTAAAGGTTCAAACATAGATGGTCCATACCTTGGACTTTTATAAGAAAGAGCACAAAGTTCGAGGACCAAAATTCTTTTAAAACTAGCAGCCATTATAGTAATTAACTTCTCAGATTTAATAATTAGATGGCAATGACTTTATTCATACGCCAAGTCTCAATTCGAGTCACATTAACCCGTAAATAAATACATTGATTTTCATAGTTTTTGAAGTATTTATATTTTTCGGAGGGTAAGAAATACTTTTCTTGAAATTTTTACCATTTTCTTAAAAAAAAACTGATGCTATCTCTCCCCTTCCCCCCATATCGGCCAATTATAGCTATCCTAAAAGAGACAGCCGGGTCAATTTGACCCGGCCTGAAATTTCTAAAGGTAGTCGCCAAAAAAAATTCCCCGACACGATACAACTCCCGCCAAAATACCAACTTTTGGAAGTACACCATTTAGGGCGCTTGAGAAACTTTTAAACACTCGTTTACTTTTTAGTTTAATTTTTGTGTCTTAAAAATGATTAATAAATGATTAATTGGTGATTGATGAATGATTAATGCTTGGTTATGAATTGATCAGTGATTACATGACTATCGATTTGGACACATCGTAGCATATTTTGAAGAAACTTAACCTTAACTTTGATCAAATTTCAAAAATAAAAGACATCTCAACGCGCGTTGATGACGGCGCTGAGATACAACTATTCGTGCTTGGCGAATGTCCGTGCTGCATCTGCAAAATTGAGAGCGCGATGGCTCGAGGCTTGAATTCTCCAAGTGTCGCTCATGACTTCTTTGCAGTCTCATTCAGTCTTTCTAATTTTTCTTTTCTTTTCATTTTTTTCTAGCAAGTTATCATTTGTTATTATTTTCATTTTTATGCAATTTGATCCATTACGACGTCATATTTGTTTCGCAAAGAGGGAAAATTAAAGAAATAAATATAAAACCAAAATTGAGTGCTTTCGCCAAGTCTTCGCCATTATTTCATTTGCGCGCCAGTATTTGTCATCAAAATGTTGGTCAAGAAAAAAATGTTAATATTGTATTCAATCATTTCATCGTTACTATAAAATTCCACATTTTTCCTCTTGGGTGGCATGAATGACATGGACACAACTTTATTGCTACGACAGAACATTTTTAATCAACACAAATTTCTATTTGTAAATCTATGGCAAAAATTGCATTTTCTAATCGTCACCATCCATGACGTTTCTACGAAAAACAAAGATAAAACTGCAGTATTGTCTTCGTGAAGCAGGGGGTTTTAACGGGTGACTGACTGTGGCGTGGTGTGCTTTGCGATATATTGATTGATTTGCCATTTAAACCTATAGGAAAGGATTGATAAACATGGCGTTCGCAACGAACGTATTAGTAATCGAGTCTTCACCATAGCCTAAAATGGGGAAATATCGATAATCGATCATTGACGCCTTGCCACTAGTGGCTGAGTTCATGGCCATGTCTGAACGCACTGCGATCGTAATCCATTTAATCTGATCTTAATCTTTTAAACATAGCGGCTGAAGGGCGTTGGAGAGAAAGTGCCCGTACACCTTTTACACGTAATCAAATAGAACTTCAGAGATAAATAAATTAACCCTCTATGGCATGAATTAATTATGGATCTGAGATTCTTGGGGACACTTATCTACTTTGTGGCTTTGTATAAAAAACGTAAGGTACCAAATTTTCTTTCAAAATTTTAAATTTCTGGGAAACAGTTATTCAAAAAGAGAAACAACTAATGGAAATTTACAAAATCATGCCACAAAGCAAAGATTCAATTTTTAAGAACCCAAAATATATGTCGTTACGAATTTGTAACGTTATGCCACAGATGGTTAAACAATACAAATAAGCAAAATACTTTGACAATACGCAGGGTGATGACTGGCGAAATACGGGAAAAGGTTGCCGCGCACAGGTTAATGATTAGTCAAAAAACAAAGGGCATGCTTAGCCAAAAGCACCAAACAAAAAGCGCGCCTATCTGCATTGAGGTATGACAGCAGAAAAACAAGGGGGAAAAACGGGAAACAAGGCTAAAATACACAATGAATGAAAACCGAGACGTTTCGACTCACAACTGAGTCATTTTCAGTCGGAAATACAATAAAATTTAAGAAAAATAGATGAAAACCCGATCCCTACATGGTGGTGGCCGGGATCCGAGAAAAAGAGAGACAGAGAAAAAAAACCATCGTATTTCCGACTGAAAATGACTCAGTTGCGAGTCGAAACGTCTCGGTTTTTATTAATTTTGTATTTTAGTCTTGTTTCCCGATTTCCCACCTTGTTATTTCACTCTTATCATTGTTTCGGGCTCCTCTTAAAAAATTGTATCCATTTTGGTATGGAGGCATGAGTCGTAAGCGTGCACTGTTGCCGAGTAGGTCAAAATTACGATAAGTCTATGGTCTTTTTTGCCGGAGGCCGAGGGAAAACTCGAGCGCGAGCGAGAATGACGATCTGAAATCGCGGCGTAAGCGCGCATAACGAGGCCACCGATGCAAATTTCAAGATGGTCATGGTTTTGACAGCACCTGGGCCTAAGAAAACAGTGAAAACTGTAATATATGCAAAGCGGCTCGGGAGTGGAGAATAGTAACTGAAATAATACCGTATTTTTATATTTTCTGGTTAGATCCAGATATTCGGGAGAAAAGCGCGGCTGCGGCGCTCGGCGCGGATCACGTGAGCGTGAGCGGGACATGCGTTCTCGGCCCGGGCCGGGGGGTTGCGTGTTCCTCGCGTTGAAGGGGCCGCCTCCCGCTCTGTAGTTGGCTACCTGTGTTTGGGTGAGCACCTCGCCACCAGTGCTTTAAAATCGCTCATTTTTCACCTTTTAAGTTTTCCGCGGTTTTGCGGCCCTCTACCTCCGTTCTTCGTTCCTCGTTTTTCACCCCCCGAAAAATCTCCGACTTCCATTTTTGTGATAGTGCGCCGTTCTGATTTCCCAACACGGATTTTGTGTTCCGTTTTCCATTCGTTTTGTGAATTCCTCCGAGCGCATATTGTTAAGTGACTTGCGTTCGACATTATCGTTATCCGTTTGTAACTTTGGATTCGTATTAAAAGGATTAACTCTTCGCTCCGACGCAGCACCGGTGAGTAGTCTTCTTCCGTTTTCTTGCCCAGCTCTACCCTTCAAAAGTTACCTTCTAAGAGAAAAAGAATCGCTGCTCTTGCAATGCTTTTAGTGAATTTCAGATTCTGCCTACCTTTCTAATCGTAGCTACAACACTCATTTAAAGCTATAACAAACAGCTCGGTTTCGACGAAAATGCTGCGGCTCTGATAACAACGCTGTCACGCCAATGTTGTACATTGTTGTTACCCGGAACGCAATAAATGTTCCATTGAAATTAACAATGCAATTATGGCTAAAAAAAAAACAACAACAGATTAGACCTGGATTCATTCTAGCAGTATGAGAGCAACAAATTTTTCTCTCCAATCCCACTACCTAACTCGTTTGCCTCTCTTGCCACATTTAATTTACAACCCTGTCAATTTCAAATTAGGAATTCTCTTTCAAATAGCGAGGAGTTCTAAACCGAAATGCACTAAAACCGTTATGAATTAGCTTACTATTCTTCAAACTGTTGAACTTTTTTTTTAAAACCAAAGCCAACTGCCCGTGCTCTACCTATATTTATGGATTGGTGACAAAAAACTTGTTTTTGTACCTAATATTATAATCGAAAGTAAATTTCATTTTCGATCCATAATTTTCCGGTCTGACAACTGATCGGAAAGAATATTCCTGCATGGTCAGATTTCAATGGAATTGTCGAATAAATTCTTTCGAACGAACACCCTTGGACCTTATTTGATTCCGAATTCAGCGCGTTAATGTGTTTTAAACATCGTTTGTTGAGAGGTAACCTCGCTCAGCTAGGTATGTCTGGATATTTTTCTACGGAGAAAAGAAACTCCGTAACTAGTTTCAACATTGAATTTTTATCAGAAACTTCTCGTGGCGGTGTCTCCCTAAAAGAGGAAGAATGAACAAGGAAATTCCTACTCTTCGACGGGAAATTTAAGATGTTTTTCGCTTTTGGAAGTGACCCATCACTCTCCAGATATAAGCGTATTCGTACTACTCATTTTCAAAATCTGTTAGAATCAGCGGTGTGAGCCTTGCAGAACATTGAACTGCCGGCTTCATTTTTTCACTTGATTCAAAATACCTATAGCTCTAAATTATTCTTACCGCTATGGAAGCCAAAAGTCACATGGCGGCAGGTCAGGATTGGAGGCTAGGTGAGAAATCTCAGAAATTCCTCTTTACTCTTTAAACTTCCGAGTAAAAATTGATGCTTGAAGCCAAAAGATTTCTCATGAAACACTAATAGGTCAAAAACTTCAATTCACACCCCTCCGATGTGCTGTCAGAGTGTTACCAGCAAAGGAGCTGTTAATACGGGACTTAAATTCCGGAAGATTAACACTATTTTTGAGCCTTGGTTTCAAAGTTTCTTTTTTGTTTCTCAGAGAAGTGTTTTGCAGTAATTAAGGGCTTCTCATTATAAACTATTATTTCAAACCGTAGCTCAAGAAATTCTTAAGAAAATTAATTATGCGACGCTTAAATAATAATATTACTATTCAAGGCTGAACATGTTGTAATCGGGGGGGGGGGGGGGTTAGAGGACAAGACACATTAGTGCAGTTTTTGAAAAAGTTGAGATTTTAATATTTTCGAGTAAACTTAGTCTTAATGCATATTCTTCAAAAACTTTGCTGTTAATTCCCAATTTTTAAGTTTAAAAAAGTCGATTTAAACTTTCTCTCCGCCATAAGAGTTCATTTATTTTTGAAACTTCAAACACATATTTCTCGAATTAGTAAAAACTGATTTTATGCGCTTTGTCCTCCCAGCCCCTCAATTCACCATATAGTCTTTCACACATAAATCACACACTGTACTTTTAAAGGAGCCTGTGTACTCTTTCCGTGGAGATTTTAACTTCATGGTAGATTTTCAACCCGTACTTTCATTCAAAGTATTTTAGCTGTATCCGCTTGGTTGGTCCTTGCCAAATAAGTTTTCGGACTATGTGAGTAGTTAGATGTAGGCAAAATCATGCACACTTGTCGCAGTATGTTCATCTGTGAGAAACGTCATTATGATCGATTCCAAAGGAATGCAATCGTTTATTTTCAATTATGAGTGCAACATTCAACCTTCCCTTTGCAGCTGAGAGTAAAGATGCGTGAAAAGTATTCGCATCCTGATATATTGGAGTCTAAAGCGAGGACACTATCCATGAATTCGAAAGGCACAAGTGCTTAGTGCTTACCCAACCTAACCATCCTCCAATATAGACAATTTCCATTTAAGGACCCACGTTCCTTCTGAAAGTTATTTTTCTATACCATTCTGTCGTATGCTTGCATCTACAGACAGATGCCTAAAGTCTACGGTGAAAATTGCACTGATGACGACGAATCACCGATTCCGATCATTAAAGATGCTAATTTTATTTCTTCATTGAAGAAACGATATTCTGTCACACAATGGGTCCATTATTTTATCCCACTTAAAACCCTGGGCAGGGGGTCAATTTACGACAAGCTTGTGTCTGTGTGAGACTCTTCGCATCATTATCGATCAGTTGAAATAACACGGAATCCAAACAAAACAATAGCAATACAAATTCATAGTGATTAGTCTAATGAAAAACAAAAAACACAGGATAAAGGATTAAGGAGTCCAATACATGAAACTCTTAAGTGCATGTTTTGTATTTTTAAGACAATCGAAAACAGGGATACAATTTTTTACGAAGAGGTTTCCATCATGTTTCACGAATAGTTCATAACGGTAATCCTGTATGCTTTCACTCCCGATTTTATAATAATACATAATAATAAAAGAATTGTAAGTATATTATCATAATAAAGTACCATAAAGATGCCAAAAATGGCCTTAACTAGATTCTTTCAAATCTTTCACTTCACAGGACTGTTCACTCTGGACCCTTCAATTTAAAGATGATATGTCCACCCATTTCACCTCAAGAAGTTTATTGCATACGGTTTTCTTTAAAGCATAACAATGTATTATAAAAAACAAAGAAATCGCCACTAATGCAGTCAAACCGTATGATTCAGCTAGATCCCCTTTAAAATATGGGTGGAATCAAGAAGCAATAATTTTGATTTCAAAGAAATTCAAGAAAATTTCAAGGTGTAAAAATAACGATCTGAAAGACAGATTTATTTGTAAAAATAAAATTGAAAGATTAGAGTTATAACAACACGTAGTTTGACAGCAAATTGGATGCGATGAGCAAAGAGGAATCGCACAATTTCCGCAAGAGGCGGAGTTTGGCAGACTTGTTAATTCGTTTTTAGAACTATTCATTTTACTCAATGTTATTCAATTTGGACTTCGTCCCTTTCTAGGAATTAATCCCTCTCTTCGGGGATTTGGGAAGGTTTGAACATTTTACTTGAATTTAGCTGTTTATTATCCAATGAAGATGAAAGCTCCGCCGTATGGTGCATATCAAATAGGAACAATTTTACTCTAAAATAAAATTCCTTTACCAAAAAGACACAATAAAACCCTCAGAGTACAAAACTGTTTAAATTTCGTAAGTGAAATTCGTCCTTTTGGGAATTAATACGTCTCTCTTTCAAACACTCTCTTCGAGCAGATCCTTTCTATTTCCCTCGAACACAAACAGCTTTCCGCTGAATTGAATAGTTTGAAAGGGAAACCGGTCATTTTTGTGGAAATCCTGAATAAATGCAATAGCGCACATTTCCGACTTGCGAGCTTTTTTGGGGCCCTTTGGAACAATATGGAACTGGAAAAAGTGATATCTAAAGTTCAATGTTGTTCTCTACGAATATTTCTCATTGAAATTTGGCGCTAAAACCAGTAGTTTGGGCTAAAATAAAAATTTGCAAAGAAAACGGGAACATTTTGGAAATTATTCGAGCATTCGAGGGATCACGGGGTAATGATTTTGCAACTCTTAGCAACCGTCTCATAATCGGGTTCTATTTATTTTCTTGCGTTCATCAACACGGAAAAAATTAAATTGCTGATTTAACAATTGAATTGCTTAAAAACAAGTGTCTACAATGTTTCAACGTATGATTTTACAACAAAAAAATGCTACTTTAACCACTATTGTACGCTAATTCAACCATGGGGGTGGTTGAGGTAGCATTTTTGTTTTGTTGTAAAATCCACAATGAAACATTGCTGTCACTTTTTTAGCACTATGTTGTAGCATACTGCACAATTTTTTAAGACTTTATCGGCCTTTCGTTGCAATTGCCTTCGGGCTACCCCCTAATATTTCACATCTAGTAAAAGAATAAACCCTCCTAGTTCAAATACAAGTGTATTACTTTGCACGTAGAGGTTAGAATGTAACATTGAAAGTGTATTGAAACTCGTCGATGGGAGTCTCGCGGTCAATTTCCACTTCAGTTTTTTAATGTTTTCAAAGTGCTTTGCCGAGGAAAACTGCTCCGTGCTCCGAATTCTACTCGGCGGTTTCATTTAAGCGCATATCCAAATGAATGAGGTTTATGTTTAGCTTGACTCGATGCTATTTAAAGTCTGCACCAGTGCCAATGTTAACTTGTGTTTCTATTCAATTTTACGCCGGTCTCAGGGCGGTCTGGGCCAACAAGAGCCGGCGAGTCGCTGGCAGCGATGTGTGCTCGCCGGTGATTCAAAGTCGCTGAAATAAGTGCAGCGTTTGGCCCTTAAACTTCACGTATATAACACTTATGTCTTGTGTTTATAGTGAAACTTGGCCAGAATATTTGCAGCACTAATAGTTTCACTCTTAGTCCAATTAATGTGCTGTGTTTGCTGTCAAGGGAATCAAATGTTTGACCGGGTCTCGCATTTTGGGAGAGTGGGACAAGTGGGACATGGCGGCGAGTGCATTACTTTCGTTCATGGGCTGTATTAATCAACACTGAAAACAAATATGGTATTCTGACACAGTGATACGAGTATGGCAATAAACACCAGACTTTATGGTGACAACCAATAAAATGGTGACTACCACCAGAGTTCCGATAAATACTACTATAATTCTGTTATTTTCACTAAATAACATCACTCTGT